ATATACATTTTATCATAATTTATAATAATATATAAACATAAATAAAATTATACCTAATTACAAATATATAAATAAATATTTTTATATTTTTATATCACATGACCAATGGCAGTATGACCTTACATCATGGCATGAGATAATTTATAAAAAATATCTATATATAAATTGGGGGGGGGGTATACCGTAACATATAATGGCATGAAATGATCTCATACTGTGATATAAGATCATACTTCTATTGGTCATACTGCCAACTCCTACTAAGTGTGTTTTGGATGTTGATGTGCTGGTCTCCAGCTTCTTATATACCACCCACGCGTCTTCATCATCGAGTTCTCCATAAACCTACCATCCCACCCGGCTTTGAGCGGCCTGTCGGAACAATGGTCATTGATCAGCGCTCAAATCACCAAATATCGAAAAATGAGAGTGTTTCTCTAGCGGGTCAGGACAGTGCCATTCATCTCCTGCCATATGTGTCCTGCATCCAAATGAATGTTATAGCAGAGAGCTCGCATTTCAAACCAGGTGATAATCTCTGAGCCAGCATGTGCGAGGGAAGGGAAACGGGTCGGCAGGAGGATGACAAGGTTGTACAAGCACCATGGCAGGCTTACAAGGTCAATACTTTTTAGTTTGGCAGGTGTGCTCTAATTAAATTACACAGATCTGCGTGGCACGTCATACGCCACATACGCCAATTAATCTGTGGCATGGGGTAAAAAGAAACATCAGTAGTGTAAACACTGGAGCAGATTTGTTTCTTTCTGTCCAACTGGACAGAGCTGGAGTCAGAGCTGGCAAAATCCCTAAAAAACGACATATAGTGAGTACTAGTGGAATAAAAAAACATAAGCTATCATTCATGGAATTAAGTACACAGAGTTGACACAGAGTGACGCTCTTTGTATACGACTATAAATTGTCAAGAGAGACCTAGCAATCAATATGAATTATTACTGAGGACATTTGATGGCTTGATAATTTATCTTAATTTTTATCTTAGCTACTCTTCAGTCTCTCACCTGCTGTCAGTGTGATAGAGAATAATGTTCTTAAGAGATTTCTGAAAAGAATCAACAACCACACACACACGTGCACGCGCACACACACACACACACACACACGCACGCATGCACGCACACACACACACACACACACACACACATTATCATCAAAGGATGTTAGAAACAATAAAACAACAAATTAATTCAATATTAAAACTTAAGACAAGTTTGCTGTAATAAGAGATCATTGTTAATTTACATCTACTGACATTTTATGAACTCTAACTGATATGTTATGAACTCCTTAATAGCAGGGGACCTCAAAATTAGCCAAAAACTGGGCTAGTACATGTCAAGCCAACCCTTCAAACTAAAAGGTCTTTCAGTAGAAGAAACCTTTTAGAAATTTATAAAATCTCTGTGCAAACAAACTCTCCGTTTCATTTGATTTAATCAGCACAGTGTGAAATCTTTGATGGAAATGTTTTCATGCTCTACTAGGAAATTGTAATCATTTCTAGCTCCACTGTTACGAAACAATGTCTTATTTGTATCTGATTTCCTTTGGTTAGTTTAACAAAGTTGAGAAATATGACTTCCTAATTTACTTTTGTTAGGCCGCTATTATGTGTTCAGTATTTTCTTGATGGAAAAGTTCATGTCAGGCCCCTTTGTCTTTCAAGAAAATAATATTATATGGTTTTATAAACACAAATATGCCCATATAAGTAAGTTGTTGGTTTTAATTGGGTTGCATCACACATGTATTAACTACCAAAAAGATTAAATACACCCACAGACAATTTATCTTTGATTCTAGGCCAGCATTAATTGTGTCACATTAAGCATTTGTGGATAATCTGTGATACTTTTATCTGAATTTCATATGCCAATTATTTTATAAGGCCCTCCTCATAGGAGCCATTCACATCCAATGTCCATTTCCAAGATAGCTCAGTATTCAATTCATACTACAGTCAAAAGCTAATTACCTTATTACATAACCAAGACTGCAAAGATTTTTTTCTTTCTTGCTCGTGTCAGCTAATTAAGTTAGTAAGTAGACGAATGCCTTTTCTTTTAGTTAAACCTACAGAGCTTTTCAGTCATGATGCCAATCTATAGGCAAACTCAAAGAGGACTAATTTGCTATTGCTATTGATTCCCTTGAGAATTTCTTACAGATTTTTAAAATGATGGTTTTCATTTTATGATTGTTTATGTTTATGATTTTGAATGTATGTAAAACTGACGTCTGAAGAATGTCTGTCAGATGTTTGTACACAGCAGACGTATGTGTGCTATCTGGGTAATATATGTTATGGAATTAAAGTCTCTTCAGTTATGTTAACCACAGACAATTTTTTCTCATAAATCGAAAACTATATTATGTGAAACATAAACTCAGTGTGTCATACTTATTTAACGAACTTATCTGAAACTTGTTTCTCATTAAGGCAATGCTTAAAGTAATACAGTGCCACAGTAGTTATGATTTGGAGCTGGTTTTGCTGGTGATCCGCTGGTTGACCAGCTACCATGTTCCAGAAACTATTTTAACCACCATAAACTGGTATTACAAGAAGGTAGCTCACAGCTAGTAACCAGCTACTATGTTCCAAACAGCGTAAAATCGCCCAATTTTACATATTTTATAACCAAAATATAAAAAATGCACATCTGTGCGCCTTTTTCGTGTGAAATTCCTAATGAGGGAAGAAATTACGAATCCGGCTATGGCAACGTCTTAGCTCATGAATATTAATTACGCCATGCAGACGTGATGCTGACGTTGCGTCTTTACTTTCCCATGGCTCGTCCTAGCTTTTGAATATCAGTCACCAAACCTTTCCCATAGTAGGTTTCGTAAAACCAGGAAATGCAGCGAGATCACCTGACGCGTCGTCATTGCCGTTGCGCTTCCCTCCTCACAACTGAGCAACAACATGGCTCCCAAAGACCAAAATACACGCACTACGCTCTGCCTTTTCCTCCTGACGCTCGTCCGCACCGCCGAGGCGTTTGACGGAGGAGACGCGGCGGCTTTACTGCTGGGCGCGACAGTGACGCTCGTGGGAATCTGTGCGTGCATGGGCTGGTACGCACGCACACGAAACGGCCAGTTTTGATGACTACATGCTGATCAAGGCCTCATCTGGAAATGTGACTGAGTGCATAAAGACTGTCATGCATTTATACTGAAAATAATTGGAAATGCGCGCAGAGGAAGGACCTATATGGATAATATGAGCTATTGATTGTATTCCTTGACGCATTATCCTTAAGTCACTTGGACACTGGACACTTCCTGTCTCTGTGGACCATGTGGGGAACTTCTACAACTGCATCAGCGTTAAAAAGCCCATTAGATTATTACTGCATGACAACAAGATCACATGCAGACATTCTCTGACACATTTATATGTGACTTGAACACACTGGTGGACTTGATGTTGGTCTCCTGCCATGTTACAGTCACTGCAAGACAATCTGCTTCCAGTTTCAACACTGATGAAATCACTAAATTGTTAAATGGCTAATGCTTTCTCTGTCTATATAAAGCATTCAATGTCAATGTGCTTTACAGAAGGAGGGTGATGCTTGCTTTGTGTGTTTTTGTTAATAAACTTTGTGAACTGTATATGCCAATTGTGTTCAAGTATGAGACTGTACATCTGTTGCAAACGGATAGAACATGTTTGAAGTTGTATGCATTAAAAATCATATTCACTATACTAACACAAATAAGAAAAACTCATTTTTCGTTTTAGGTTAAGTGCTTTTTTGTTTTCTTTGCAAAATAATTATAATAAAAAAAAAATCAGGATATACCAAATGTACAGTATTTAGACATTCAAGTCATTCCTTCTATGTAATTTAATTAGATAATACGTTTTTAAAATAAGTGACATTTATTTTCAAGAATTTTATTTTCACAGTCACTTTTCAGGCAAAATATTCCACAAACATGTTTATCTTTTAAATTATAACGTATAAAACAGTCGAGATTTAAAATTAAGACAAAAATGGGTCTGAACACATGGTTGTCAGAGATTTGTGGATCATATCCATAGTTAATGTGGTTATTTTGCTAGGACACCTGTATGCACTTGAGAATAACTTTTTACACGTATGCATTTTAACACACATCTAAAGTAACTTAATTGCACACAAGATATGCTTCTTTCTTTTTTTTGCAAACAGTTCATGCAATCGTTGGTAACTGAACCCAGGACCTTGGTGTTGTTACAACATTCTACTCTAACTCAGGACTAACTGGTAAAAGGTTGTTGCAACCATTTTACATTTTATCGAATGCTTTAAAATACATATTTTTTTTATTGTAAATGCTAAGTGTTCAAAAAATACCTTTGGGTTCACTCTATGTCCAGTGCCAAATATGCAACAGAATGAGACAACCGTCTTGTTTCTTATTAAGGGCAATGTTAGGCCGTGTCAATTATTTATGTTGTGCAAGTGTGTGCTGAACCATATGTAATATAGGCTACTCACTCTCTCTAAGCACATTAAAATACTCAATGAAAGTAATGATACCCTGGTTAGATAAGTTCAAGTTCAAAGTCTTGTTTGTCAAATACAGAATGTTACACAGCACTACAAAAGCAGTAAAAATATGTAATAGGCCTACACAATATATGACACAATAATAAAATATTTAAAAGGTGGCTTCACAATAAATACATAAAGCCCACTATATTATTTTCACTCTTTTATTTATGTATATGTGATAGATAGATAGATAGATAGATAGATAGATAGATAGATAGATATTGCAGTGCATAAGAAAACAGGCACGATATAAACAGTGACATACAGCACTGCTGACATAATACAGATACAGTATACACAGTAAACATTTATTAAAACACATGCGACGGCACATATGACACTTATACACTCTGATAAACGGCAAAAAGGATCCGTGATGCTGCTGCACCCATCAGTGCAGATGCTGCTGCTGCTGGGATCACAAATAGCGCCAGTGCGCATGCGCCATCCGCACCGTTTACTGTATAATCACAGTGGGGGGAAAAGAGCAGGCAACAAAACTAAACCTTTTTTTACGGCAAAGTGACGGCTGCCATGTAAATAACCGCCAGGGAAACAAAGGGGGGATATCAACAGGTATGTTTTTAACTGATATTTTATAGCGCTGTCTCTGTTGCACTCGATATTTGCATGCATGTATTTGAAGGAATTGCTGTGCCTATAATGGACGCTCAGCTATCCAGAAATCATTCCGATTTAAAAAGCAAAGGGGAAAATAGACCGTTTGTGTACTAAAATGTACGCAAACACCCAAAAGATCCTCTATCTGTTGCTTATTTTGATGCAATGCTCTAAAACGTGTTCAATGGTGGATGTTTTTGGAAGAATGCAACTGGATACACAAAGGTTTATTATTTTATTATATAGAGAAAGGCTCTTCGTGCATTTAATATGAAAGAAACGGGATGCTATTACACAGAGTCGATTTATAGGTGCCATCCATTGTTTGTTTATTTTTTACTCGAATTCGTCATCATACCAATACTAATAAACAATAAATGTAGGTTAGAGGGAAAAATAGAAATGCAATTCTAAAGCTTGTGCTTTTTCCCCCAAATGACTTGCATTAAATTGTTGTTGCACTGAACGTCTGTATGAAAGACACAAATAACCTATATGTATCTAAAATATAACATGATGCATTTCTTCATATTCCTTTATACTGTCAATCATATAAGGATTCATGACTGATTTTACACAGTATCATGATAAACAGAGGGAATGAACACGGTCAGATTCTGCAGGATCTTTGGGTGTGATCAACAGCTTTTCTTGCTGCATTTCGACAAATGTTACTTTCGGGTGTAGAGGATAACACTCATTAGATTTCAAGTCTTTTTCCATCGTACCACGGATGAATACGCCTCTAGACGGATGTCTAGTCGTGGTGATGAGCATCTTGTCGACTGCACTCTCTTTCTTTGCCGTTATTTATTTAATTTGCTTTGGAAAAAGGGGGAGATGTTGGGGGTGGGGGTCTGTTATTTTAACCAGGATTTATGTTGGTGTCTAACGCCGAATCCTTGTGTTGAATTAAGCAACTGTATGAGCTCGGCTCAGACGGCATACCGTTGCAGCCGCAATTTTGTATGCAATTAGAAAAGCAATCTCAATGACAAAAGAAATAAGCAATGCAACGCAAAGCCCCCCAGTTTGTTTTGTGTGAGCGAATCCTAATGGGTGGATCGTGTTTTTCAGGAATCCTTTTAGGTGTGATGAGACAAAAGAACAAAGGATGTCTTAGAAGAGAGGCAGCGACGAACAAGGCTGGAACCTGCTTCAAAGCACACCAGATGGATCTATCGCTTCCTCTCCATCCAGATCATGATACTTGGCTAAAGCTTTAAGCATTCTCTATGATCCCTTCTCCATCTATGGCGAACTACAGCCATGCAGGGGACCACAACATCTTGCAGAATGTCTCTCCGCTCGCCACTTTCCTTAAACTGACCTCCCTGGGTTTCATCATCGGCGTCGGCGTAGTCGGAAACCTCCTGATCTCCATCCTGCTGGTCAAAGACAAAAGCCTTCATCGAGCGCCCTACTACTTCCTGCTGGACCTCTGCGCTTCGGACATCCTCCGCTCAGCCATCTGCTTCCCCTTCGTGTTCACCTCCGTCAAGAATGGCTCAGCCTGGACGTACGGCACGCTGACCTGCAAAGTGATCGCCTTCTTGGGCGTGCTCTCCTGTTTCCACACTGCCTTCATGCTGTTCTGTGTTAGCGTGACGCGGTACCTGGCCATCGCCCACCACCGCTTTTACACCAAGCGGCTGACCTTCTGGACATGCCTGGCCGTCATATGCATGGTGTGGACCCTGTCGGTAGCCATGGCGTTCCCTCCGGTGCTGGACGTGGGCACGTACTCCTTCATCCGCGAGGAGGACCAGTGCACCTTCCAGCACCGCTCCTTCCGCGCAAATGACTCATTGGGCTTCATGCTGCTGCTTGCACTCATCCTCTTGGCCACCCAGCTTGTCTACCTCAAGCTCATATTTTTTGTCCACGACCGCCGAAAGATGAAGCCGGTGCAGTTCGTGCCCGCCGTCAGCCAGAACTGGACGTTCCACGGCCCAGGGGCAAGCGGCCAGGCCGCGGCGAACTGGCTGGCCGGCTTCGGCCGGGGCCCCACGCCTCCGACCCTGCTGGGAATCCGGCAGAACAGTAATGCGGCGGGCCGCAGACGTCTGCTGGTGCTGGACGAGTTTAAGACTGAAAAGAGGATAAGCAGGATGTTCTACATCATTACCTTCTTCTTCCTGAGCCTGTGGGGACCCTACCTGGTAGCCTGCTACTGGAGGGTGTTCGCCCGAGGCCCAGTGATCCCGGGAGGCTACCTGACGGCGGCCGTGTGGATGAGCTTCGCCCAAGCGGGAGTCAACCCCTTCATCTGCATCTTCTCCAACCGGGAGCTCCGGCGATGCTTCAGCACCACGCTCCTCTACTGCAGAAAATCCAGGTTACCGAGGGAACCCTACTGTGTTATATGAAGATTCGGTGGCGTTTCTTGTTTATCCGATGTGTTTTTTGTTTGGATGCCCTGGTTGATCAGGGATGTGTTCAATTGTACAGCTCTCTCCTCCTCCTCCTCCTGTTCCTCTCACTCCCTTTTCGAGGCCTGTAGTTGAACCATCTGAAAGGAATAAGATGATGAATGGACAGAGGACAAGTCCCACGTTTATGTTCTAGTAAACAACCAATGCGAAAGGCCATTTGAAACCCAATAAGCAAAAAAAAAGAAAAAGAAAAAATCTCTAAAAAAAAAAAAAAGAAAAAAATTGAAAGAAAATAAAAAATGGATACATCAAGAAGGAACTGGCCTTTGCTTTGGATATCTGGAAGACTCTGGAAGGGTGTAAAGAAATCAAACTGTTACCTTAAGGAATCACTAGAATTTGTGTCTAAAAAGTTGCACTAATGAGAAGACCCGAAGATGTGTTTTTTTTCTCTCGCTCCATTGCATTGCAAGGATGTCTTGTTTTTCCCAAACTGAAATACGAATGCTTTAATCTGCAACAGACTTCTCTTTCACTGTAAGTAAACAAAACATGTGGGGTGACTAACTGTTGGAATACACCTTCACGAGAGGATAAATTGGTTTAAATGTAAGTGATATCTTTTTTCCTTTTAGGGTGGGGTTGGGGTGGGCTGGTGGGCGGGTCTTAAGGGGGCGAGTACTGTTGTGTGGTTTCTGGAATTGCAACTTAAATTATTTCCTGTAGTTTTATGATCCATATGGTATGTCTCTGTTGTCTGGCAATGTTATTTTCTTATCTCATTTTTCTAAGTCTAAAAACTAATGTTTGAATTTTCAAAACGTTGCTCTTGAGAACCTTGTACTTAAACTGACAGTGGAGAACCAGTTAAGCTAAGTTCAGTGTGGCATATCCATGTACCCGAACACGCAAATTTTGTGACAGATACCACTCCAGCTGTTCTTGCCTTAATGGTTCTGGTGTTTTGTTTATGTTTTCATTTGCAAGGTGAGGGTTGTTTTATAAATCCGCTCCTCTAAAATGTCTCCTTGAGGCATTTTGGGAGGCTTTCCACATCAGGGCGAAGTGCATGTTCATTTGAAAAACAGTATCCACCACCACTATCACAGGCACAGACTGTGCACCGACAGCCCATTTCTTACCCTGTAATGTTTGCTACATCCCACCGAGTGCGCAGAGCACAGGGAGCATGTGTGCGTGGACGTCTGTGCGTGAGTGTGCGTGTGTGTGCGTGCTTGGCAAACAGCTGTCATGTCAAGACCAGAGCCTTAGTCTGAAATCTTGCACAATTTGTAAAAAATGTAATAGGAAAAACAAAAAACATTGTATTTAAGGCACAGAGTCTTGTTTCTACTTTCCCAACATTTGCTCTCTACTAATTGTTTTGATTAACTTACTTTTTTCTCTTGTGGCCATTTTAATATTTATTCTGTATTCTTTTTGTATATTATAGGTAGATAGTGTGTAAGTTTGTGAGTCTTTCATTTTGAAGTCCCGAATGTGAGTACTGTTTAAGTTAGGACTGCAATTGCTGAAAGTTAACTGTGTAATCTGTTGCTTACATTTTTGAAAATAAAATTTTACATTTTGCAAAACCTGTTCTTGCTATTTACTCTAAAAAGCACCGGCCTGGTCCCACGCTTGGTTTAGCAGGCCCAAAGCGAAATGAAAGCTAAATTAGAGGGGAAAACACGTATAAATATTGACCGAGGCAGGCTAACAAGCTTATCTTTGCTATTAATGATCGCTTTGCATTGAACTGTCATGATTAGTCTCTCGCTAATATGTTTCTGTGGCCTGTTTGTGTTCCTGTTTAATTACTGTAAAAACGTTCTCTTGTCACCTCTCTGATATTACTCCGTGAAACAAGGCTCGCTTTAGCCATTATGTGCTTTTTGCTTTGTCACTTTACCTCTTCATCTTCTGTCTTTCATTTCTGGCTAATTTCAAACTGTGTGGAGTTTATTTGGATGCCGCTTTTCCCTTGTGAGCGCTGTTGAACGTGATGAATTATCTCTGCATTCTGCAATTCAATACAACAACAGTTTTTCTCTGTTAAATGTTACGTTTTCGATGCGTATTTCGAGCTGACCTGAAAAATGCTTCGAGTGGGCATGCATTTGCTGCAAAATCACCCACTGTTAACAAGGTCCCCGTTTCTCTCAGCATCCCTGGTGAAATATCACAGAGCCGGCTACCAGTTATCAGTGTTTCAGGAGATGCCTGGCGCTGTCGAGGCAGAGCTGGAACAGCAGGGGTTTATTGAAGCTTTCGAGGGGTCAAAGAACTCCTCGAATGTAGCGATTGCAGATTGATACCTAAAGTGAACAATAATGGAGAAGTCATTGTGTTCGTTGTTAAATTTGTGCCCTACAAACAAAATTGACTCGATGCTAACTCCAGCAGAGGGGTTCGGCAGTTTGGTTTCAATCAATCCACATTCTGCGGTATTAAAACGCAAATATTAGCATTAATATTGTTAAAGCTGAACTGTGTCGCTTTTCTGATAATATAATACTCTGTTTGCATGACACACTTCACTTTTAACAGAAATTTATAACGTCAAGCAGGGTTTCTACACATTTGTTGACAAGCTGTCCAGAAAAAAAAGTCCCATCTGCTTTAGTCTGAAGACGTCTGGATGGCTTTCGAATGCCCTTTGTCTGGAAGAATAAATGCACGCGGAGTGCAAGATGGAGGTGCTTGAATGAAAGGCCAATAAAAATCAAGATGATGATGGCTGTTCCCTTAGGACCCGTTGCGTTGCTGTATTTATCGTCATTCTCATTCCTGTAACAGCCCACCGGGGCCTTTGAATACAAATGATCAGGTAGACCGTACCATAAGTATGTGTGCATGACTAGATCCTTATCTCAGAAAGTCTGCAAACTTAGTTTTATCTGCCTGTCATGCTGCTGGCTTTGAAAAGTATCTCCCTGCTTTAAATAATAACTGATTCAATTGCGGGGTATGAATAGAAGAAGCTTAAAAGGGTTTCTTCAGCTTATTTAAAGAGATAGTTCATAGAACTTATGAAAAATGGTCATTATTTACAATCTTCACATCATTATGTCTTCTGTGGAACAAATCAGATGAAATGTAGTCAAAGTAAATGTTAAGTGGCGGCAAGTGGCTTCTTTATGAGTGAATCGTGGATTCATTTAATCAAACGATTCATTCGGGAACAAAACAACTGGCTCATTCAATCATTCACTCAACCAATCACTCAACCAGTTTGTTCAAAAACACTGATTCGCTCATGAAAGAAACAAGTCACACATAAGTGAGTAATCGTTCATTCAACCGATTTGTTTAAAACCTCTGATTCATTCATGAACGAAACAAGAGATCTTTATATGCAAAATTCATTCAAAAGCACTTATTTATTCAAGAAATTAAACACCATTGTGCTTGCTCTAAGATTCATGGTTTGCATTTAAATTTGCTTTGACTTCGACAAAACTAAACAAAATAGCTTGCAATATCATGTCTAAAATGTAAGTTACCCAATTTTATCTTGTTTACTGAACTGTTGTATAGAAGCAATATTACACTTGCAATGTAACATAACTTACTATCATAAAAGTTGTCCATGACTTGTATTTTTTATATTCTAGCTATATAACAATTATTTATTAATATTTGAATTAGCTTTATTTATTATTTCAGTTTTCACATTTGTAGTGTTTTTGTCATTTTTTTATTTATTACATTTTTTTACTATTTCTATTTACCTTTAATTTATATTTCAGTTTTAGTAATTTTAACACTTTAACTTATTTTATTTCAGTTAGTTGCCAAGGCAACATTTCTAATTTTCTAGGTTTTTTAAGTTTCAGTTTTTCAACTAATATTCATTTCTAACTTTATTTCAGCTTTATTTTAATTAATGATTTCTTTTAGTTTTACTTGTCGTTAACAATAACAACACAGACAGATGGCTGCGTACAGGTAAAAAAAAAAAAAATCACTTGCATGTTTAACAAAAAATAACTCTGTATGAGTTTGGAATGACATGAGAATAAATAATGACAGAACTTTCACTTGTAGCTCTTTAAATACTTTTTTTTTTTTTTTTCGTATCTTATCGGAATGAAGGATTGAAATGTAGTTTAAAGATACTCCCTATTCATCCCTCTCCCCTGAGTTAAATTACACCATCCCAGAGGAATTCAGACATCAGATCACCAGTGCCACAATCAGTAATGGATGACGTGCACGCCGGCTGCTTATTTTCCTGACATCACGTTGACAGAGGACATTATTCATTCATTCTCCATCATTTCCTTCACGTCGGTGCAGCATAAACAGCGATTATCTGCTGGAGATCAAAGATCTTTCCTATAGCTGCGTGGAAACCTTGATTAAAATCTAAACGTTTGCTTTTGTATTCTGACTACTGACATGTCCCCTCGAAACCCCTTTAGGGTGACTAGTGAATCAACACACTGCTGTAGATGCTTCGCTCAGGTTTCTGAGAGAGCTAATGGCACTACATGTTATTTAATAAAAAATGAGTTAGTTAACTTCAAAGACAGACAAACTGTTATGATAAATGTGACGATGTTCTTCAATGTGCAAATGATTCTATATTGTATGTACAGTCGTTTACTAATGTTAGATCAATGTTTCACAACTGGTTTTGCTTCAGGACCCAGATTTTACATTGCACATCAAGTGGGGAGTACCAAAATTGTGCAAAATTTAATTTCAATGGTTTCATGCTCTCGGCAGCCAATAATTCACCTCACAAAACACACTGTGCTCGACACAAACCATATTTATCCTTGTTATAAGTGAACCCATATTTAATGTAGTTTGGGCTGTATTTTCTTTTACCTTATGTGGTTTTATTGAGGGTTTTTGAGGATGAAGATATATCACACAATGTGTCGTTGTCGCCGTGCGGCTAATTTGTTGAATCTGTGTCAAAATACTGCACATTTGATTGAACTTAACATTAACAAGAAAATATGAGAAGAGTTTTCACCTTTCTGTTTTATAAGTATTA